CGATCTTAGTTCGAACTGCGCTGATCTTTTGGTTTGAACACGAGCAGAGGTGAGCAGCTGTAGCAGTGAAAATGAAAGTACCCATGATGTCATTTAGCGGACCCAGTTGAAAACCAGACGGATCAGGCAGCATTATACTGAGAGTGGTGCAAAGCGCATCAAATTATCGATATTTAAAAGGGGGAAAACATAAAAATAGAATAAATATATTATTTTATATTAGACACACATCTGGTGCTTGTATTTGCTCATGCTACACACACACACACGTGTCATATCTGGCTGCTGTATGTATATTACTCACATTTGTTTTGTTGGCAGTTTTTTGGTCTTGAAGGAGCATCTTTCCCTGAAGCACCATGATGAATGAGTGTGTGTATGTGAGTGTTTGTGTGTGTGTGTGGAATATGAGAATATTCCAGGAGGCCGCGTCTGTGTGTGTGTGTGTGTGTGTGTGTGATGGATCGCTGAGCTCTGGCCGTCTGACGGTTTATTGGGTTTAGTTGTGATTATCTGGCTCTCAGACATTAGTTACCGGTGACGACCCGCCTGACAGCAGCCCAGAGAGGAAAAACACACACACACACACACACACATGCTGGAGAAACACACACTGTTGCCCACTTATGATTTATTTGTGCGTGTCGGTGCTGAGAATAATTGTGCGCTTTACGTGAGCCGTTTTTACATGCGTTTTTGTTCTTAATTCAAGAGCTTTGTCTTGTTTTCAGAGCGACACCTCTCCTTCAGTCTCGGCGTGTCTGTGTTTGTCTGGTTTTCAGTCTTTTGTGTTTGTTTATCAAAGAAATTATTTTTAAAAGAGCATAAACAAGCAAACAACAAGTAATAATTATAATAATAAAGAGCATACAACTCTCTGATAATCGTACAGAGCATGCACAAACAAGCAAATAATAATAAAGAGCATGCACAAACAAGCAAATAATAATAAAGAGCATACACAAACAAGCAAATAATAATAAAGAGCATGCACAAACAAGCAAATAATAATAAAGAGCATGCACAAACAAGCAAATAATAATGAAGAGCATGCACAAACAAGCAAATAGTAAGAAAGAGCATAACCAAACAAACAAATAATAAAAAAGAGCATAAACGATACAGACTACAATCTGACTTTATATACTACAAACAGACTACAATCTGACTATTTAATACAATCTGACTACAATCGGAATATTTATTTAATACAATCGGACTGCAATCTAACTATTTAATACAATCGGACTACAATCTGACTTTATTTAATACAAACGGGTCACTATCTGAATATTTATTTAATACATTTAGATTACATTCAGACTACATTCTGACTATTTATTTAGTACAGTCAGGCTACAATCAGACTACAATCTGACTACAATCTGACTATTTAATACAATCAGGCTACATTCGGACTACAACCAGAATAATCATTTAATACAATTTTACTACCATCTAACTATTTATTTAATACAATCAGACTAAAATCGGACTGCAATCTGAATATTTATTTTGATACAGTCAGAGTACAAACCTACTACTTAATACAATCAGGTTACATTCAGACTACAATTGGAGTTCAATCAGAATATTTATTCAATACAATCAGGCTACATTCGGACTACGACCGGACTGCAATCTGAATGTTTATTTTAATACAGTCAGACTAAAAACTGACTATTTAATACAATCAGGCTACATTCAGACTACAATCGGACTAAATCTAAATATTTATTTAATACAATCAGACTACAATCTGACTATTTAATGCAATCAGATTACATTCGGACTACAATCTGAATATTTATTTCATACAGTCAGACTACAATCTGACTAATACAATCAGACTACATTCGGACTACAATCGGACTACAATCTGAATATTTGTTTAATACAATCAGACTACAATCTGACTATTTAATACAATTAGACTACATTCGGACTACAACCGGACTACAATCTGAATATTTATTTATTACAATCAGACTACAATCTGACTATTTAATACAATCAGATTACATTCGGACTACAACCGGACTACAATCTGAATATTTATTTATTACAATCAGACTACAATCTGACTATTTAATACAATCAGATTACATTCGGACTACAATCTGACTACAATCTGAATATTTATTTAATACAGTCAGACTACAATCTGACTATTTAATACAATCGGACTACATTCGGACCACAATCTGAATATTTATTCAATACAGTCAGACTACAATCTGATTATTTAATACAACCGGACTACAATCTGAATATTTATTTAATACAGTCAGACTACAATCTGACTATTTAATACAATCAGGCTACATTCGGACTACAACCGGACTACAATCTGAATATTTATTTATTACAGTCAGACTACAATCTGACTATTTAATACAATCAGGCTACATTCGGACTACAACCAGACTTCAATCTGAATATTTATTTGATACAAACAGACTACATTTAGACTACAGTCAGACTACGTTTGGCCTACATACCAAGTAAATTCTGATCATTTATAACAATTGGACTACATTCTGCCTACAAGCAGACTACAATCTGAATATTAGTTTAATACAGTTGGACTAGGATCTAACTATTTATTTAATACAAGTAGACTACAATCTGACTATTTATTTTAATGCAGCCAGACTACAATCTGTCTATTTAATACAATCAGGCTACTTTTAGACTACATTCGGACTACAATCTGACTATTTTATACAATCAGGCTACATTTGGACTACAATCTGAATATTTAATCCAGTCAGGCTACATTTGGCCTACAGTCTGACTATTTATTTAATACAATCGATCTACAATATGACAATTTGTTTAATACAGTCGGACTACAGTCGCACATGCGCAGAGAAATGTTTGACCAGGCTGTGGATTAAAGCTAATAAATTCAGCTCAAAGCCTTATTTAAAGTTCTACTGAAGAAAAATTCACCTACATGATGGATGACCTGTGTGTGAGTAAATCAACAGAAAATGTTCATTCTTGGGTGAACTATTCTACACAGTCCTACACAAATGTCTGAACTACAACATCTGAACAGTGGCTGCACACCGAATAAAGCACAGAATGAATGCACATCTCCTCTCACTGCTATATTCAGATGCCTTTCTGGTGTTGAGAGGAGTGTGTGAGTGTGTGTTTGGATCCACCATAACTGATGTGCTGTTGTTTTCCTCAGTGCTGGTGAGCAGAGAGGACGAGTTCAGCAGTCGCCTCAGCAGTAGAGCCTCTTTTAGGGGCTGCTCAGCTCTGCATTATGCTGCTCTCGCTGATGATCTACAGACTGTTCGTCTGCTGCTGGATGCAGGTCAGTACACACACACACACACACATACACTTCAACAACTGCAGAAAAATGCAGTGGGGCATGTGTTTGAATGAATCAGTTGAGCAAATGATTCAGTGAGTCATTAATGAGTCATTAATCCAGAATAAACAACTGGAAAAAACTCAGAAACACACACACACTCAGAAACTCATGTTTAAACACAAACTCGCACACAAACTCACACACACACATATCAACATGTTCATCAGAAAAAAAATCAACTGTGCAGTGCGTTATTTGTTTGAATGAATCACTTTAAGTAAATGATTCAGTGAGTCAGTCATTAATCATGAATGAATCAGCTGATTGAATGAATCGGTTGAGTGAATGATTCAGTGAGTCAGTCGTTAATTCTAAATGAATCAGCTGATTGAATGAATCGGTTGAGTTAATGATTCAGTGACTCAGTCGTTAATCCTGAATGAATCAGCAGTATGAATGAATCAGTTAAATAAACGACTCAGTGAGTCAGTTGTTAATCTTGAATAAAACAGCAGTTTGAATGAATCGGTTGAGTAAATGATTCAGTGAGTCAGTCGTTAATCCTGATTGAATCAGCAGTTTGAATGAATCGGTTGAATAAATGATTTAGTGAGTCAGTCATTAATCCTGAATGAATCAGCTGATTGAATGAATCAGTTGAGTAAATGATTCAGTGACTCAGTCATTAATCCTGAATGAATCAGCAGTATGAATGAATCAGTTAAATAAACGACTCAGTGAGTCAGTTGTTAATCTTGAATGAAACAGCAGTTTGAATGAATCGGTTGAGTAAACGATTCAGTGAGTCAGTCGTTAATCCTTATTGAATGAGCAGTTTGAATGAATCGGTTGAATAAATGATTCAGTGAGTCAGTCGTTAATCCTTATTGAATGAGCAGTTTGAATGAATCGGTTGAATAAATGATTCAGTGAGTCAGTCGTTAATCCTAAATGAATCAGCAGTTTGAATGAATCAGTTGAGTAAATGATTCAGTGACTCAGTCGTTAATCCTGTATAAATCAGCAGTATGTAGAATCGATTGACTTAATGATTCAGTGACTCAGTCGTTAATTCTGAATGAATTAGCAGTATGTAGAATCGGTTGAGTAAATGATTCAGTAACTCTTAATCCTGTCGTTAATCCTGAATGAATCAGCTGATTGAATGAACACAGAAAAACACACTCGTATCTCAAAACCACTCACACACTCAAGCTCAGAAATGCACACACACAGGCTCTCTCTCTCTCTCTCTCTCTCTCTCTCTCTCTCTCTCTCTCTCTCTCTCTCACACGGACACACGGAGATACGCACACATACACAGTGCTGGTGTGTGTGTGTGTAGGTGTAGCGTCTCACCTGCCGGAGCTGCGGAGCGTCAGTGTTTCCTGTCTCTAATATCCTGCTGTTGGCCTGAGGCCGGCGCTCGACCTCTGACCTCTGAGTGAAGACGCTGTGTGTTATGTGACCCGCGCTTGAGTGTGACAGCGAGTGTGTGTGTAATGAGATTTACATCACTGTGTTATTATAGCCCCGGGGCACTTAACACACACACACACACACACACACTCACTCTTACACATACACAAACTTACTCACACACTCTATACTCTGAATCACGTTCTCTCACTCACATACAAAAACACACACAAACTCAGAAACACAC